TTACACCGTTGGATATTAACAAAAACTATTGCACAGTGAAAAGACACTACAGCTTACTTGTTCCCCCCCCTCCTTTGTCCCCGTTTCCCCTCTCTCTCCCCTCCAGCGAGGAGTTAAACAGTTTAATGGTGTGTGTGGGACAAAGGACTTTTTAAGTCTGCTGGTCCTTGACTTTGGGAGAAGCAACCTCTCACTGAACAGACTCCTCTGGTTGTTTATGTCCGTGTGCAGAGGATGGAGAGGATGCCCAGCATGGTCCACAATGTCCATATTGCACCTTAATTTGTTTTTATATAAGTGCGTGGAATGAGTCTTCTGTTGAACGTTTTTTAATAGACAAAAGGTACTTGAGTAAGTAAATGGCGAGTCAAATTTTTGTCTTTTTTTTCTATTTTTGCTGATCCAAAAATTGATCCGATCCGTGACTTAAAACCGTGATCCGATCAGAACCGTGAGATTTTTGATCCGTTGCACCACTAATAACCACAGTTGAGCAGAGAGGAGGAAACATTATGCTTTGAGGCTGTTTTGGGGCCCTAAATGACCTCCAGCTGACCACAAACTTCATGAGGGTGGCTCCAACATACTCCAGTGGCCCCTGCACTCTTGGTTGGCAACTTGGCTTTTGCCATAGAATACCACTGGTGCCCTGCTTTTCACAGATGAGAGCAGGTGGTCTAAGGAGTCATATTTATGGAGGGATGCACAAACCTCTACAGGCTAGGCAGTAGGGTTGGGTGTTATGTAAAAAATTTCCAACCTACAATTGTCAATCAAATAATCGACAGTGTGCATTATATTCGCGCATGCACAGACTTTTTGATGGGCGGAGCAATGTAATCATGCATGGACTGATTTGCGTGCTTACAACACAGAAAAAGTCCAAACATGGGCGAACTAATTGCTAAAAAAAATATAAAGTCGCCAATTTGGGATTTCTTTGGCTTGACACCGGAAGAAAGAAGTAAACCTAATGATGTAACCAAAGCGATGTGCCGCTTGTGCAGACATAGTGCGAGCAAAGGACTCAAATACAACTAACTTGCATATGTTTTTTTTTTCTTTTTCTGAACATAGGCTACTGCCTTTCTTTCGGTTATGTGTTTGAGTAAATGAATCTCTGAATTGGGGCGCACACTAAGGAACGTGCATTTGCTCGCAGATGAAAGAGGGGGCTTTTAAAACAGCGCTATTATTATTATATTTTTCTGTTGACTGCTTCCATTAGCTCCATCATTATTAGCAAACTTACTCATGGGCAAGTAAATAAATAAATCGCCCTTGTAAAAACGATCTGAGCCATCGTCGATAGTTGA